GGCTACTCTGATTTATCATCTAACCTCATTATTTTCGCAGTCACCGTTCTTTCTTCGCACAAACCGTCTTCAGTTCAAGTTTCAGATGATTCACTGCTGTAGAGATTGTACGTGGTCTTTTGTGCTCACTAATTTTTTGCACTACATATAGATCATTTTGTAGTACTTTTGTCACACGCTAAGTTCCAAGAAACTTCGGATAAAGTTTCAGTACTGTGCCTGTCTGTGTCCGTTTAATTGCAAGAGTATCACATTGCTCATATCGCGTTGCTTCTTTTCTATTCTTTTTATATAGTTTTCTATATAAAAATAAAATTTGTGGGCTTGCACTTCAGGGATCTTTTCTTTTGCTCCAGTTCGAGTCTTCTGGCGTTTTTTCCTGAAACATAGTGATCCATTCGTCATCTATTGACCGCCGAATCTTCAAATTTTCCCGCAGCTCAATATGTGTTCCGAACAATAAATAGAACGGTGTGGTGTGCACTCCTACTATAGGAGTATGCATTCAAATATTTCTGCGCAACCGCAAGGAACTTGTATCATTCGTCTGCTTTTGACGCATATAACTTCGTCAGTAATGGTATAAGATTTCTGTTTACTCTGAACCTGACCATTCGCTCGAGAAACACCTATTGCTATCAGCACACGCTGTATTTTTATGTCCTTACGATATTTTTCAACGGCACTTGATATAAACGCTGAACCTCGATCTGAAAAATTTGTCTAGGATTTCCAATTACATAGGATTGCTTCTTTAATCGATCGATTACCTTCGCAAATTTTGTGAATTTTGTGACATATGACCTCGTAAAATTTGGTAAATGCATCAACAACCACAAAAATATGTCGATAACTTTTCTTATTCGAGAATAACGATCCAAAATGATCAACACGATACGTATCGAAATGCAAGTATCCCTTATCAATCTCATCAAATACACTTACTGCTTGCCATGTTTTCTTTCCGCATAAATGCAATTTAGCGTTACCTTTTCAATTTTCGGTCATCCCTTTAAACCAAAAATCTCTTCTTACAATCGCTTCTGTTTTATTAACGACAAAATGACAGCGCTCATGAGCCTGACGAAGTATATTTGCATGTGCATAGACTTCGACACAACCACCAGCATTTTGTCATCCTCTTCTTTATGTAGAATAACATTTTTTAGTACTTAACCGCTTGCGACATGTTATTCAATGTTATCCCGAATTTCCCGTAGGCTTTTGTCCTTCACTTCTGCTTCTTTTAAGCCAACCATGATACTACCTTCACTTTCCTCTATTACTATGGCTGTGAGCAGTGGATAACGGCTTAACGCGTCAACGTGAGTCACATTTCTCCCGGGCCACTGATCGATTTTATTATTAAGTTCCTCCACACATAAGGTTGATCTTGCCACACCACCGCTAAGATCTTTTTTACACATTGTCAATACAAATGATTCACATTCGGTAACGATCTTAAACGATATACCCAACAAATAAATTCGAAACTTTTTTAGTGCCTTTGTGATTGTAAGTACCTCAAGTTCACAGCTTCAATATTTTTCTTCGGTCAGTGTAGTCTTACCGCACGCGTAACACACTGGATGGAAAGTACCAACTTCCAAAATATAATACCACGTTTTAACAGAATTGCGCCATAACCCATACTATACGCATCTGTAACTGTTTTCGCACCTTTTGATACAATTTCAGAACCGGCTTATAATCTAGAATAATGTTCAATTTTCGAATGCTGCAACTCGAACTTGAATTCGACATTTTTTCGCAACAAATTCGATAGAGGTCTTGCAATACTTGAATATAGATGCACGAACTTTCTCAAATAACTTTCCAGTTAAATGGATTTTTACGTCTTTGTATGTCTTTCACACATTTTGGCTTTGGAAAATTTACTACTGCTTTAGTCTTATATTCGGACGGTTAAACATTTCCTCAACGACGTACCACGAATATTCAACTCCTGTTTGCAAGAAGCTACATTTCTTCCAATTAATTAACAGACCATGTTGACTAGGAATAATTAATAACATTAATATTTCTATTCCCTGCAGAAAATAGACAGAATGTATTATCAGATCATCCA